GATCATGGAACTTAATTTCAGTCTCAAGTTACTGTGCTTTATGCTTAGTCAAGTTCTGCAAATGTTAATCTTGAAATACTACTTCCATGCTAAAGACAAAAAATGTTCAACTGCTACCTCAAGTGGCCAAGCAGGCAAGATGAGCCCATTTTTCCCACTTGGGATTTCGCGCGTTGGTCACGCAAGTAAAAGTTCTCTTCTTGGCCATGTAATAATTCATTATTTTATTGACCAAGCTTGTTCGTTCAAGATGGCTGAATATTGGCCTCATTCAGTTTTGCATTTTTATTGACCAAGACCAGGCTGTGCTCTGTGGCCCGTGGCGCCTGCATCTGTAACTTTTGTTCTCGGGCGACTAGAAAATCTTTGCTTTTTCACAGAAATCATTTGCTGGGCACACTGGATTTCACAAGTTCAGAGTGCTGGGCTGCCTTCAATTTTTCTTAGAGCACAGCGTTGCAAGAGGAAGGCAGGGTCAATAAAGGCACAAATATTCAGCTATCTTAACCTCACACCTGGTCAATAAAGCATAATTATTTATTACAATTTTATATTTGAATCCGTGAGCGAGCAAGATAAAGCAAATCCTGTGTTCTAATTGGCTGCACAAGTGGGCAAACCAATCAACCTTGTTTGGTGAAGATAGCTGGGTACTGGCCTCGCAAAAAAGAGCTTGTGACCATCTTGACCGAATGTTGGTCAATAATGCATAATCATTTTTAACAATAATAATTATTAGAACTTTGTGAACATCTTTTCCAAAGAGGCATTTTATATTGCTTTAAAAGGGGTAGCTTGTGCTATGTTTTGTCCTTTGAGAGGCTTAAAATGTGTCTTGGCGTAAATTAAGTTCCAAAAATAATGGTCCAGTTTTAATTGAGGCATTGGGACTGTTTGCCATCACCTCTTGCTATGTATGACAAAGATGATCATGGATTGAAACTTGGCCAACTTTTTCAAGCTTAAAATAATGCTATGACTGCATAAATCACCAAGAATTATTATGGTTTGTGTTTCCTGATGAATTTGGCTTGATGAATGTATCTTCTTCATAACTCTACAAGTCGAGCATTTTGTGTATGGGTAAAGACACTAAGTAATGACTTCAGCATAGAAGTGACCTAAAATGTATACATGAAACACATAAACGGTTTTAGCGGACTCGTATTACATGTAAAACTGTAGCCATACTTTGTTTGTTGATGTATTTTTTTGCATTTGAATCTTTGCACTGGTCATAGAAAATTGTGTAGTTTAGACCACCATGTCAGAAGAGTAAGAATATTTCCTGACACAATATAATATCATCCTGAAGCAGAATGGTCATATGAGTAAGTGGTATATGATCATACAGGTTAGTATAGTACTAAGTGGGACTGTTGACAGGAACTGATGTTTTGACAATGCCCATAAAAATGATGATCACCTTGTTGTCAAAACGTTAGTCGCTCTCAACAACAGTCCTACTCAGGGCCGGACTACAATGTTCATTCACCCGACAAATCATATTCCACTTTGTTGAAATATTATAGACAACCAAAACTATCACTAGCCATAAGCTACACATGAAAGTGTTTATCACTATCTGCCATAAAGGATATTAATTTGTTAACAGATTTGGCATTTTCTTTACCAAAAAAAAACACTACGTTGTCCTACAGAAAATGTCTAGTGGATTTCTGAAGGGAAGCCTCTTAATATTCTTGTTCATTGCTAGTGTGAATAGGTACTCACACTTAAAATGTAATTTAACTTAAGCAATGTAATAAATAAATACCATAAGAAGACCTGATTGTCAATTTTGGAAGCAAGGAGAATAAAGAAAGTACTTGGAAATGTTGCTTTGGTATTATTTTGTGCAATAAAAATGTCGAGAGAATGGGTTTTTGTTACTATAGATGGCGGGAAAACCACCCCAGCATGGTGAAAAGCGCTTTTTCCACGATGGAAATAACTTGAAAACACCAGTTTCCGACTCGTAAACTCGTGTTTCCGCAATAGTTACATCAGATTACGTTGACGGAAACATGAAATGACTTGTTTCCGGAACGTTTTCGCGTGTTTCCGCAAGGATGCCACGCATTTATGCTTCCGGAAACACGTGTTTCCTTAGACGGAAATTTGACGGAAACGTATAAAAAAGTGGTACGATTCCGCCGAAACCGCAGCGACGGAAACACGGGTAAACGTAATGTATCCGCTAACGGAAACATGTGATTACCGTCATGTTTCCGCAACGGTTTTACGTGTTTACGTTAAGTTTCCATTTACGGATTCTTGAAATTTCGTCCTGTGGTACTGCTTTGAGCGCGCCCTACAATAATAAAATTTTAAGTTAACTGCTGCATTGATCGCTTTGATAATGTTATAAAACAATTAGTTTATGCTATACTTGGGAAGTTTGGAGACCACTCAAGAGGCTAGAGTTGCACTCGGCTGAGCATCGTGCAACTCTCACGCCTCTTTCGTGCTCTCCAAACTTCCCGCGTGCTCAATATCTCGACATACGCACGCTGACGCATGAACTAATTGTTAATTGGTTCATGGGTTTCCTATGCTTTGTAGCGTTGCCATGGAATATTCCGCTACACAATTAAATCTACTTTCTTAGTGGTGCTGGTGAATTTACCACCAGTTGCATACTGAGCCAACAGTAAATTGACAGCCGCTTAGTGACCCCTTACCCAGTTGGGGGCTATAACGGCAAAGGAGCTGTCAATTATATATTTTTAATTAGCTGATGGGGAGACACAGTTTTGTTTTTTTTTTCGCTGTTATATAGACAACAAACTATGTCCTTTAAAAACAGTAGTAGAGCAAAGCTTGCACTACACCTCAAGTATCGTATATCAAGAGAAACTACTGTTTTTGCGGGCGACAAGAGGAGCCCGCAATCCTAATCTCCAGGTTGTTACTACGCATGCGTCGTATATGTGTTACCAGCATTTGTTTAGACTTCCACTAAGAATGAATGGAATGCACAGAACGCAATTTGATCAAGCGCGTTTGGACCTTTTATAACTCCTAATCTGATCACGCGTGTTTTGACTTATGCTTTTGACTGCAATGTAATAGCCCTGTCACGTGAAACTTACGCAAAGCACAGCGATGGGACAAAAAAGGTTTTGACCTTCGATTGTTGTCGCCTGCACTCTGTAACCTTTGGTTATTACTAGTAACGCATGCGTCGCATGTATGAAGCATTCGTTTAGACTTCCACTATCACAGAATGAATAAAATGCATAGAACGCAATTTGCATCACGCGAGTTTTAGACTTTTTATCTCTCATAATCTGATTACGCGTGTTTTGACTATGGGAAACTTATGCAAAGCACAGTGTTTGAGCAAATTTAAAGCGTTTTGACCTTACATCGTTGTCACCCGCACTCCGTAACCTTCGGTTATTCTCTTTTTTAGAGCAAATACAAACCCTGCCAGGGTTCAGACACCTAAAATCATCACAAAATGACCACTCATAAACATAAATTGTCGTCTCGTGCCTGGATAATTTCTGTCTTTTCGATTGTGTTTTACTGCGTTGTTTGTGTAAGAGTAGAACGAATCGGAGCTGAATAAACAGAAGAAGAGAAAGCGTTGAAGAGACCGAGTTACTTGCTAACATTGGACCTCTTCACGATGGCCAAAAAATTCATTCTTGGCAAGTTAGGAGTACAATTCAATATTTTTGTTTTGAGGATAATAAATAACCACTGTTATCCTTCTACCAGAAAGGCCCGTTCGTTCATCGCGTTTGCCATCACGGCCTAGCGAAAACGCAGTGGTAAAAACGTACCAAATAAGCCGCCAAATGTTTGTGGATCTTACTGAGTTTTCCAGTCGCCTCTGTGCCATAAGGAACGAAAATGAAAAGAACAAAATGGCCACCAAGACTCGACGTGAGAGTAATCTATATATCGTTTTTTCCGCGTCCACTGCCGAACCGTACCTCAAATATACAGACTTGAGACATGCCATGCATTCTGGCTGTTTCTCTCATCCTTCAACTTGCTTTGCAATGTCCTAAACAGCCAACAGAGCGTAGCCTCCATAAAAGCCACAAACTTTCCGCTCGGCAAGTAACTGTTTATGTGGGAAATAGAATTTTGCTTTCGCGTTTTTCATTTCATTCATTTTACGCTCCGCGGTTCCATTTGCGGTTATCATCGGTTATTAACACATCTCTAAACAAACTTTCTGAAATTTGCGACATGGAACAAATTTCGTGTGCAAAGCATCAATTTCAAATAATTCTGTAAGTTTGGCCGAAGATTATCATAAACCTTATCACGGTTTTGGAGGCCACCTTGACGAGTAGAGAAATTACAGTGTTTATATTATGATATTATGTCAAATAATTTCCGTAAAACGGAATTAATGCGGTTAAAGGTGTTTTTCCCAGGAATTTGGGGAAAACGTAAACGATACTGCAATCAGTATTTCCGGTTGAAGAAACGGAATTTACTCAGAAAGCTTTTGATTATCTTGCGTAAACTCTTAGTGCAGGAAACTAGATGTTATCCTTTTGGTGTTATTTGACAGATTGACTGTGTCCAATTTGATTTTTGAGGTTTTTAGTTCACCAAATTATGTAAGCGCAAGCGCAACGCTGATAATAGATGGTTTTCACAGTGACGTCATCAAATTGTAAAGTCAAAATAGCGAGGTTTTACGAATTCTTACTTATACTAGGTTGAAGATAAACAAGAAATAACTCTTTGTACAAGTTTCCAGTCCCGTAGCATGTGTCATTTCGAAAATACAGAAGTTTTAAATTACAAGTTTTCACAGTTGGTGACACCAAAATAGGAATGCTGTCTCGTTGAAAAACGTCTCTCCTCTTTACTTTCAGCAGTATAACCATTTCAAGTATTAGAAGATGTTTATGTGCACATATGCCAGTTCTCGAGTGAAAAGAAAGAGCTTTTATAGAAAAAGTGAACTCCCGATGTTGTTGTTGATTTCCGGCGGCCATATTGGTGCACCAAAACGGTGCCCCAATATGGCGTCTCCATACAAAGCTCGACAAAGGTACGTCCAAACTTCACTTTCCTTTAAGTAGTGAGTTGACGCAACAGGACGGCAGGAAGAATGACAGGGCTATTATTCTGTATTTTGTGTTTTGTCGTGATCTTCACTTAACACCAATGTTTTCTGGTCGTCAATAAAAAGATCTGTTTAAAGGAGAGGAAAGAGGACGGAAAACCTTGTGTGACAAGCGTGAATAAAATTTTGTTTGAAACAACTTTTCTCCAAACTTCCCTTTCCTTTAAATAGATCTTTTCGTAAAGGACCAGAAAACATTGGTGTTAAGTGAACATCACGAGAAAACACGCAAGTGCAATATGTAATAGCCCTGTCACATTTGTCACAAACATGTGTTTTGCCCTCCTATTCTATCTTCCTGCCGTCCTGTTGCGTCAACTCACTACAGTCGACTTCCGATAACTCGAACCTTCAAGGGAAATCAGAAAAAGGTTCGAGTTATCGGTAGTTTGAAGAAAATAGCCGAGAGTAAGGTAAAAAACAGTTTTTACTGCACAGTGAACATTTTAATCAAATTTAATTGTAGAAATGTCAAGTGAAAATTAAAAGGTACTTCTAGATTATAAATCAGAACGTAACGTAACAAAACATGGCCAAAATAGAGCATGGGTTTTACTGTTTTGAGAAGAAAAGCTGCTTCATGTTAGCCTGTGACAATCAACATCAGCCTTCACTAGTAAACTATACTCCTACAACACGTCATTAGGAAATCCAAAATTCAATGTTTCGGACGCCCGTGGACGGCTTTTTTCCCGACTTTTTACGGGCTCAAAACACGGTTCGAGTTATCTAGGGTAAAATTATATAGAAAATGACCTGAGGGGAAACGAAAATTGGTTCGAGTTAGCGGCAGCAGTTCGAGTTGTCGAGGGTTCGAGTTACCGAGGGTAAAATTACAGTGAATGTATGACGGAAATCCAGGGGAAATCGATTTTGGTTCGAGTTAACGCGAGGTTCGAGTTAGCGAGGGTTCGAGTTATCGGGAGTCGACTGTATTTAAAGGAAAGTGAAGTTTGGAGAAGAGTTGTTTCAAAAACAATTTTTGTTATGCTTGTCACACAAGGTTTGCCGTCTTCTTTCCTCTCCTGTCCTGTTGCGTAGGTTCACTATTAGGCTGATTTAGCAACAGAACGGGAACGTCAGTTGACGACGGCGCGCGCAAATCAAACAACTGGCTTGACCAATGGCAGAGCGACAAATTGAGCACCGGAAGTCGTGTTTAGTCCTTTCCGCGCGCTTTCCCGTCGTCAACTGACGTTCCCATCCTGTTGCTAAATCAGCCTATTGTCAAGAACATGACGGAAAATTAAAAAGAAGTGAATACCCTTGGTAAAACTATTATCGGAGTTAACATCACAAAGTAGCGGGTATCTTCCAGGCCCTCCCGGTCCAGAAAGGATACCTGGGTAAAAGAGGACCAAAAGGAAACCCTGGAAATAAAGGAGATCAGGGTATTGTGGGATCGCCTGGAAAATTATGCAAGCTAGGAATCATGGGACCCGTGGGTCCGAAGTGTGATGCTGGACGCAAGGGACAAAAAGGAGACATGGGACCTGCAGGCATGCCGGGAGCTAAAGGAGAACCTGGTGAATCGACTTCAGCTCCTTTATTATTGCTGTTTCCTCCAAAATACTGACAGTTAACGAAGATGGATCAGCTTCGTTTCAATGTTCAGTGAGTGGTGTCCCTAAACCTGCAATAAAATGGAGTAAACTGAACAGTCAGTTACAAATAAACTGGTCTCGATCTCGATGGGGTTAACTGACAACTGACAACTGACAAATAGCCTAAAATTCAACTGACAACTGACATTTGTCTTGGGCTTTACTGACAACTGACAAAGGAACGGACTGTCCCTTATTTTCTGCAAAACCCGTTTTAAGGCCTTAAACAACATTGTTCGATCTGTTACACCCTTTTCGTCAGACAATAATAATATTAATTTAAAATTTTATAGGCGCGCAAAGACCTATATGAATATAATCAATGTGGTCAAATGTACGTTTTTAGAGGTAATCTTAGCAGCAAGACGCTTTAATGTTGTATTTCGTTAATGATTTACTTTAAAACCGATGTGTGTCATGCACCATCTGTTGTAGATGACCTGTGATCTCAAATTTACAACCCTCTGAGAACACGCCAGAATACAGTGGCTGCTAATGTGGGCGTTTTACCAAGATGATTCAGATACGGTCTTTCTTGGTTTTTCTTACGATCTAATTCCCAATAATCATTATACCTGCTAACCTTTTCTGAGTCAGATGTGTGAGATTTTCACCTTGTTATGACCGGGATTTCCGGAAAAGTGCCGGCAATTTTCAAAGATTACCGACGAATTTCCGAAGACTTCCGAACGTTGCCGAAAATGTCCGCAGATATTCCCAAGACGTTTGAGCACTTCCGAAGCTACTTATACGAGGAGAATTTTAAAGTGCTTTGATTTCGTTAGAACACAAAAAAGGACACAAAGTCGACAGTTAGCGCCGTTTAACACCTAGTCAATCATGTACAGGTAGTACAAAACCGCAGTGCTGAAGAGCAAGGCATCCACTAAGACGAGACAAAAACGCAGAATTACCCTATTTTTGCAGGCATTTTGTTTGTCTTGTTCCACTGCGTCCCTTGTTCCCTAATGGAGGCTTTAATTTACTATTTGGTAGTTTAAGTAAGATCCACCTTTAGATTGTTGGTACTGAATACCGTTACGATTTATTTTGTGCCGTTTATGTACTCAGAGGATCAAATGAATCTCTACATACTCTTGTTCAAGAAAATAATAGATAAATTTCAGTTCAATCGCTTATAATAAGGACCTACTGGCCTGTCCTAAATGCTTTTTCTGTCATAATATTTTAATTAGCTCTTTTAAAAAAGAGCACACTTTCCACTTTTCTTCCTTCTCTTGTTGAAGGAGAAACATTCTTTTAAAACTGTAGAGGTTTTTTTAACAGAGAAGTTGAAACAAAGAATAAAATATTTGTCAAGAGTTTAGTGCAAAACCAAAATCCACATATATCCATTTTTATAACTTTAATTAAAACAGTTTAGACCAAATCATATTTGGTGTTGATTTTGGTTTTCAAATTGCACAAAAGTATATTTCTTTGCTTTTCATCCTCGTGACCTCATTACAGCACCAAAGGAAACATTTACACCCTTACCGTATTTTTTCATCTGACTGGGTACCCTGCACCAGTGGTCTCATGGAGAAAATCATCCTGTCAAGTACCCCAGTGAAGGGTGAAGTAAAATAACAGTGCATTGCAAATTCTTAATGTTCGGACAGATGACTCTGACGTATACTTCAGTTCTGTGCGGCATAAAACCTGTTAAAAGCCTTGAAAAGAAAACTCTCTTAGTTGTTGCCTCACGTCCTTGGTTCATTGCTAAGCCACCAGAAAACGTGCCGGAATCCAACAACCAGTCATCCGTTGGAGGAAACAAGGAGGTCAACTGCCAGTTGGGCGGAGCCAGTAGATTAATGGTTCGTTAGTGATAGGAAACATAACAATGAACGGTAAAGGGAATTACAACTGTGTCGGTGCAGGCTAGGGGTGTTAAAGGCGGAAGCTGTAACTTATACTGAGTCGTTAGGTACATGCATTAGCGAATACATCAAAGTCTTGGATTCTTCTGTTTCTCTGTGAGTTGTCAAAATCAGTTCCCGTGAAAGCGTAATCTGCTGCATGATGCTTTTTATGTGACACTTCTTTGACTTCTAAGTAAAAAATGAATTTACATTACCACTGTTTGGTTATTGATCCGATTGGTCAATTAGTTCAATAATCAGTAATACTATCAACTGACATGATGACGTGATGCAATTCACTTTGACTCTGAAGATGACCACCACACAGGTTGTTGAAACGTCAGTCACTGTTCTTGTGAACAACAGTCCTATTCAATTCAGGACTACGTTCACCCGTACGACCGTACTCAATCTGAACAATGAATGATAAATAACATAAATGCTTAATAGGCAGGGGTGCCACAACAGCGGTGAGCCAATTACATTAGTCCCTGAGCTTAAAAGATATGTAAGAAACAGTAAAACTCCATGTGACAATTAAAAACAACAACGGAGACGGACAGACACGTTACCTGAAACGTCACATGACGGACAGATGTTTTCCAGGATCGTGGGTTCTCTGGGTCGTAGTTACGTTCTAAGGCATCCACGTAGTACTTGTACATGATGGATTTGAATTGGCTGATCTGAAGGTTGCATGAAAGTTGAAGATCATTTGCTAGCGTGTTCCAGATTCTGGAGGTTCTATTAAAAAAGGATCTCTGAAAAGTGACAGTATTACATTTCCTTGAAATAAACTGAGTGACATTACGGTTGCTGTTAATGATTTAATGATGATTTAACAATTTATATAGCGCGTATTTACATGTGCTGATGAATAGCGCTTTACAATCATATGTTTAAGAGAAAACAAAAATACATTACCGTGAGAATAAAATAACCTAAGTTACAAACTATAAAAATACTTCTTAAAAAGATAGATTTTAAGTCGAGATTTAAAACTGTTAAGTGATGTTGCTTGACGAAGCTCCACTGGAAGGCCATTCCAGAGTTTCGGAGCTGCTGCTGAGAATGATCTTGCTCTCAATGTTGTAAGCATCTTTCTCTTGGGATGGTCTAATAACAGCTTACTAGTAGACCTAAGATTATATAATGAATTCGATTTTATACCAATAAGATCGCTAAGATAAGCTGGCGCTAGGCCATAAATACATTTGAAAGTCAAAAGTAAAATCTTATAGTCAATACGCAAAGAAACCGGCAGCCAGTGCAGCTCATAAAGCGCCGGTGTAACGGCTGGTTATAAAAGCATGAACCAAAGTAATTAAAGAATCTCTCGACAGGTATTTCTTAATACGTCTCAAGTTATGTAAATGATAAAATGCCGCATTACCAGCCTTGTTTATATGATCAGTCATGCTTAAGTTTCTGTCAAACCACGATCCAAAGTTTTTAACACATGGGCTTGGACTGATACGATTATTGCCCACAGTAATGGAACACGACTCTAGTTTATCAAGCTGTTGTCGTATGCCGACCAACAGCTCCTCACCATTTCCTCACCGCGTCAATGCACTTTTCCATAGCTTGTATAGCATCAGCTTGGGCAGTGTTGCCGAGTGGTTTAAAACTCAGATACAGCTGCGTATCATCGGCGAAACAGTGAGCATCGGGAAGATAATGTTCCACGATCTTAAACAGCTTGGACGCATATATTATGAATAGCAAAGGCCCTAAAAATGAGCCTTGGGGTACCCCGCAGTTCACGTCAAAAGGACGAGAAAGAACTTCATGTACAGAAACGCGCTGACTTCTATCAGACAAGTACGAGCTAAACCAATTCAGAGCAGTCCCACGTATGCCAACCTCGTCAGATATCTTCTCTAAAAGTATTCGATGATCAACAGTGTCAAAGGCAACACTGAGATCCAATAAAATTAACATAGTGACATGTTGAGAGTTCATCTTTAACAAAATATCGTTCATCGCCTTGATAAGTGCAGTTTCAGTGCTATGGAATCGCCTGTAAGAATACTGAAGCGCAGGAAAAATAGCATTTGAAACCATGTGATCGTAAACTTGATTAAAAACGACTTTTTCAGTCAACTTGAATACGTATTGTAAGTTGCTAACTGCTCTGTAATTTTTGTACGGCAAATCCCATCCAGGTTTCTTCAAGATAGGATTAATAAGCCCACATTTCCAATCATCCGCAAATTCTCCAGAATTAAGAGACAGGTTGATCATTTTATTAATGACTGGTAATAGCACATCAGCACAGCTGACCACCATAGGTGTTGACATCGGATCAAACATACAGCTCTTCTTCGGAGAGCAGCCAATCAACTTACTAACTGCACTTTCAGTCAAAGGGATAAAGCTGTCCAGTGTTCTAGTTGGTAACGTTTTCACATAGTCAAAATGGGAATCATGCAAACAATCAGCTAGTCTGTCCAGTTTGACATGGATGGCGTCAATCTTTTCAACAAAAAAGCTACCCATTTCATTGGCTAAAACCAGCTTGTCACTAGTTGGTAGGAAAAGTACTCCATGACCTTGACTTAGCAAACTCTTTGTTGCCGAGAATAGGTGCCTTTGATTGGAGTTATTTTCAACAATAAAGTCTGGGTAAAACTTACGAAGGACTTCATTCATCAGGTAGGTAGTGCGAGTAACCAGGACTTGCGGGAGAACAGAGAGACTAACTCTAACTGTTCCAGTTACAACTTTGAAAAAGAAAATCATTTCTAAAAACTCGTGCCAATAGGAGATTGGTAATAAGTTAAGATTCATTAGCCTGTCCCCATATGTTTCGTCAGAAATGAATGGTAGATCCAGGATATACTTTGCAGCGCGCCTCTGGACACGCTCCAGCTTTCGAATCAGGTCTATTGACTGCGGAGTCCAGACTTGCGCGGCATAGTCAAGGTGGGATCTTACTAGGGTAAGGTATGCCAAGCGTCTAACCGTAATGCTTTTGACGAGTCTAGTGTTTCTCAGTACATATCCCAGGAGCCTCCTGGCCTTAGCGCATTGCACACTGACTTGCTTGTTCCATGTGAGGTTATCTGTGATGTAAACAACGAGATCCTTCTCGGCGCAGACAACTTCAAACTAAGAGCCGGCCATATGGTAGACATGATAGACAGAGATGATGGGTTTAAGTTTCCTAGTGATTTCTCGGCTCGTCGTTCTGGCGAGGAAGGATCCAGGGACAGGTCCGTTTTCCAGTCTCCTTCATCCAGTCACCTTGACTTGCACTTTGTTCTCACAGCGGGCTTTTTCGAGAAAGGTGAATATAAGGAAGGCAAGTTCTATTGGCAACCTGGCATCAGCACACGTTAACTGAACCATCATCACGTTAACTTATTCTGGGTTTTAGAATATTCCGTATATTCCGTGTTTGTTTTAGAATATTCTGTAAATTCCGTGTTTTAGTATATACCGTATTGTAGAATATTCCGTGTATTCTATCATTCCATTCCGTCTTTCCATCAGTCCGCCGTTCCTCCAAATAGGGTCACCCGTTTAGAATAAATTTCCTTGGCTTTGCAAACTCGGACCAACAAACCGTCAGATGTAGATGTTACATAACAATAACTGATAGCCAGTAACCTTTATTGTAAGTTATGCGTTTTGTTTCTTCCGGCGAGAAGATTCAGGAAGGTTGATAACTTATTCAACATTTCCCCTATGAATAACCATAATTTTGCAGTTTATACAAACTGCCCTTGGCGTTTTGTGTATTTATATGGCTAAATGTGCGCTATACTTAAACTAACGTATTTCAAAACGGCGAAGTCATTTTGGCAAAGTTACAAGCCTGTAAATTAATCGACAAATCTTTTATGTTCTTTCTTTTCGGTGAGAATGAACAATTCACGCGGTATCTGACACAGTCCGCGAAAGGAAAAAAAATGCTGCACAAAACCCTGCAAAAGTATGAATGACAATCAAAACATGAATAAAACTTCAATGAAACATGTTCAATAACAACACTTTATATTAAGCCTTTTTTTCTTTGTGTTTGTTTGTTTGTTTTTTAACCGGCTTGGCGTTTTTAAAAATAAATTGAACGAGCCTCGCCCGAATTATTTTTACGGTACTCTGCTGTAAAAGCCTGCATCTTTAACTTTCACTTTTATTGAATTCCGTGGCGAAGCTCTCCTCTGCCCAAAAACCAAATAAACAAACCATGTTCGAATAACAGAAGAATCTTGATAGTAGTTGTATTTCATTTTGTCACGGCAGTAGAAGAACATGAATAGTTAAAAACTGAAATGTTAAAAGATTCTCCTGTAGTCCGCCCCACGAACCTGCATGAACTGTCAGAAACGCAGCCATCTATAAAATGAAACTTGACAGCAGCTGTACCTCGTTTACTGAAATGAAAAAAGACTTCCTAGGAAGTAGTCTGTCGACAAACAACTTTCTAGATGCTGCATACATAAGTTTTCATGCATGAATTCACCTGTCACAACTTTGACCAAGCGGGGGAGAGGGGGGATTGACTACATTTTGAAGGTTGTTCCTGGAGTGTGACCAAAAACGTGACCAAGCAAAAAGTAAAGCCGTAGATTTATTTCCGAAAATTTTGTCCTAAGCCGAACACAAGAAACTTCAATCTAGATTTTTAGTAGAGGAACTCCGTTGGTTGCCCCTAAGATGGTTTATTTTGTGCCAAAACGAAACACAACGGTATATGTCTGTGACAGAACGTATATGGAGCTATAATTTGGCTTAAATTCATAATTTTGAGAATCTTTTGACAACGTACCTGATAGAATCCTTTTGTAAGTGCTCTTTCGTGTGTTTAAGTTTTCTAAAGCGTCTTTTAATGCCCTTACATCTTCATTACATTGCAGCTACTTTGGCACTGGCTAGTGCGGAACGTTGCCATGGCAACTTTTTAATTTCTCGTGTGAAATTATAATGAACTCTGAATTTTGGGCCAAAATTAAGGAGTAATTTGTCACCCATGAATTACTACAGTCGACTTTGGTTGGAGTTAGCGCGAGGTTCGAGTTACCGAAGATTCGACTTTTCGGGAGTCAACTGTACATTAGTAAGTGGGATTACAAAAACGGGGACGAGGAGGGAGGTTGAGAGTTGAGGGGGGAGTAAATCGAACATGTAGGAATGAGTATAGAGCGTTGTCACTCATGTGGTCAACATCTAAGCAAATTTATTGGAGCAAAAGAACATGTTTACATAAGAAAAGAGTTAAACTCCCACAGGATTGGTTTGGACAACCAACATGGCCCCTATATGGCCCCAGTAAAGTCATATGAAAACGCTCTATACGATCGAGAGGGGTGGTAAACTTTAAAATAAAACAATTTTTAAAAAAACATTTACGACCCTTCATTAATCAAAAACATTTCAGTTGCAGCTGATGAGCCGAAACAAGCGCGAAAGAGCTGTCTTCCATTTTTGCCTCGATCTTTTGAGTTTCTTGCGTCGTTAAAGCTGTTTTTAATTTTTTTCGTATTATCAGCCTTGCTGCCTTTTTTGCCAAGTTTGTTTTGTTTGGCTTGTCGTTGAACTTTTTTTTTTGCTGATTAGGTCTTGTATGGATCCTACAGCTGTACGCAAAACTGCAGCATTTACATTAGCGGTCCTTTGTTTATTTGAAAAAAAATATATTATAAGAGGACAGCATGTCCTTGAAAACTAAAGTGAAGTTATTTTGTAAGTAATGAATCTGTTGAAGCAAAATAAGACAGGTAAAAAATTAGAAGCATTGTACGCTTAGACTTCTATTATAAGGCTCGTTTACAAGAGTTTGTTGGTTTACAGCGGGAAGGAGGTTTATGACATGTGACATTGCCTCATTCAATGGCTATCAACGATGATTACCTATACATGCTACGATATAGAAACCTGAATAAGACCTCTTTATGTATAGTGGTTGGCTGCTAAAGGCTAGAAATTACTTTTACCTCTTTGTTTAGATGCTCTCAGTTCATTCTTTATTCTCGGCAGCCATGACAGCAAGTACACTGACCAGCTGAATTACTATTTAGACCCAGTCCTTCAGAGTTCAGGTCGCAGCAGGTTGTGAGGTGTTGGCACGCTAAGACAGATGGTTGGGCGGCATCCACATTCCACAGTAACTGTGATGGAAAGGGTCCCACTGTAACCATCATCCAAGTTGGTAGATACATATTTGGTGGATACACTGACAAGTCTTGGGGTGGTATGTATAAGGCATATATTTGTTGGTTACACTTAATATGGCCAGTATCAGATTATTTTATGACAGTCTTAATCGCACATAGTCTATGGTATGGGGAAGGCACTGTTTATCGTATTTGGCCACCTTTTCTACACTACAGAGTATCTGTGACGGAGACGGTCTCATTGTAACTATTGTCTATGAAAAATCGTTAATTACATGCATTAGCAAATACATCAAAGACTTGGA